GAGAGAGAGAGAGAGAGAGAGAGAGAGAGAGAGAGAGCAAAGCGGAAGGGGGATGGAGGTAACAGGTACATTATCCAGACTTTGGCCCACCGATTTTGTTAAACATTACCAAACCTTTAACGAAGGCCCTTAAGGACAAAGCAGCGTAACGCAGAAAGCACTGGTACAAACATACTGCGTCGGGAGCGAGCAGTCTTGAGAGGGGTATTTTGTCCCGCTGCTCTCCCTTTGACTTAATTTCATTACGCCCCCTGTTTCTCTCCCCTGATTAGTGTCCCATTAAGCGGTCCCCGCCAAGCCGGATGGAGAAAATTACGACGGCGAAATGGCAAACAACGCCAAACGGCGACGCCAGGGCCACCTGATGCAGAAGGCAAAGTCGGAGGTTTTATGTCAGGTCTCAGTTCCGCAAAGGTCTACAATAATAATATATCAAAAGAGACTTAAAAGCGTCATCGGTTACTGTTACAGCAGGTGAGCTGTCAACCCCCCCCCCTCCCCCAACCCCAACAACCAGCACCCTAAAAACAACATATGAAAAGAGAACAAAACAGAACAATACCAACACAAAAACAAACAAACACGTGCACAGGCAAATAAGCCAAAAGAAAAAAACAATCTGGCGCCATTCTATTTGTCTTGGAATGGTCTATCATCCGAGACCTGCAAAAGTAAGGTTGCATAGTCCGATTAATAGAAAATTGACAATGATGAAGATTACATAACTTATGACATTTTGTACATAAACAATACATTATGAAATATTGATACGAAGAAATGAGTTGCTTGTCGTACACAGGAGTTTTGAGACATCGCCCAAATTTCGATTTTCCCAAAACTTTATACTTGTACTCCCGGACAATACGTGACTATAACTTTGGAACTGCCGCAGCTAGACTAAGTGTGTGAGGCATCCTGGTGGAATCAGGCATTCGTCAAAATGATGAAATCCAAGAAGGTGACATTTACCCCCTCGTTCGGCTATTTCTATCTATTGTTTTTGCCTTTACACATTTAATGTCCATTAAAAAACATATTTCTG